TAGTGCTCAATTTATTAAAGTTCTATTTATCTTTTCTAATTTCTTTTTACTCCCAAGCTACCATTTATCTTTATTCAATAAATCAGCTTCATAGGATAACCTATGCGTCCATAGTATATCTATACATAAATCTAGCAGACTTAAGCGTTGCCTGTATATTTATATGAATATAATAATTATTTGATGTTAGGTTCTTTTGTCAATGCCTTTTAGTTCATTTATTCAGTTTTTCAGACTTTATCTGGTTTTCTAATCCACACGTATTTTATTCAATTACATTTGAATACCCCTACATTAAGATTGTATCTTTATTTATCCTCCAAATTACTCCACTGAAGAACAACAAAAAGGCTGTGAGAGCGCAAAGTCCAAAAATTAAATGCCCTTTTCGAGTTTTGCACTCTAAGCTCTCTATACTTCTCTCCTCTCTCTCTCTCCTCTCTGTTTCTCTCCTCCTCACACGCCGACAAGTTAACCCACTCCTGTCTTGCCTGACCGTTATTTACACTCATGCACTCCTACTCCTCCACAAAATGAACAAAGATGGACAATCACTGTATTTATGTTCATACGCTCCTACTTTACTACAATCAAACAACGACGGACAATAAACATTTACGACAATTTGGCCAAAAATAACACAAACCCCTGAGCACCACAAATCACTTTCCTAGTGACTGTCGTCGTCCCGAGGCGACGCGTGCTTTATGCCGGCCGGCTACCTGCGCCCGTTCAGACCTGACGTTGGTATCTGAAAAATCTCAGCACCCAGCTGAAACTTTGCAGTAAGTTAACGTGCAGCGGTATCCACGCAAATGACCTGTCGCGAATTGCCTGTGCAGACCTCTTTGTAATGTCGCCAGGCTGTCCAGTGCTCAGCTAAGACCCTATTAGCGACATACGCAGAGCGGTATCCACAATCGCTTAGTCGACTTACTATCACTTTCTAAAATAAAAATAAAATAAACCTCTGTGCACCTAAAGTCTCTCCTCTCCTTTTCTGCAGAACACACTAACACATACATCTAAGCGGAGACGCTGACCATAGACGAATTCACCCTATAATTTATGCTCTCATTATCTGCGCCGAGTTATTTCCTAGCCTGACTCTGAGTTACAACTTTCTGTCTTCCCCGCTATCTGTTACTGGCCTCGCTTTGATGTTTCTGCTTGAATGGTCACCCAGATGAGCGCTCCAGCAAAACTCAGACAGACTCTCAGCCAACAAATTATGCACACTTGCAACAAAATATCTTCAAAATCAGGCATTCTCTCGCACCATGGTCAAACCGTCAGAAAAAGACAAACATTGACGTACGAACAAATAGACAAACAACAAAAGCAGACAGACAAAAAATATCTACTCCAACCTTGATTCATCCTCATTTTTAGTTGTTTGTTTTTTTTAGCAACTACTAAATTTATCTAGGTTCGAGGAGGTACGAGTTTGGCGGGGTCTGACCTGGCGGATTTATCCAGACGCGCTCCCATACATCTCACTTAAAATTATTTATTAGAAAAAGGCTCTGCTTACCTCTTTGTAATTTTTTTCGGCCGTGTGAGACTCAGGGTGCGTCCCGGATGACTCCGTCCTGGAAGCGTTCGAGGTCACTGCCGTCCGATTTTTAACAGGTTTATAATATCCTTAGGTGGTAAATTATCCAAAATCCAAATTAGGTCCAAATAATATTATCCTTAAGAGAAATATTCTAAGTCCAAAATTAGATCCAAGGAAAAATTCTAAGTCCAAAGGCTAGGTTCAAGAAAAATTCTAAGTATTATCCTTAGAGAAAAATAATATCCAGGATTCATCCAGTTTGGCAGTAGAAGTAGAGCTTTATTCCAGTTGCAGAAAACAAAGCCCAAGTTATCCATGGAACAACTGAATTTTAGCTCAGAACATCACCTTTTATACCTTCAGGGTTATACAAAAATGTCATAGTCCTGCCCTCTTTTCAACTTTTTCTGACCCTGTGTAATGGTGTAATTTTCCATGACAACTTTCTCATATGCCACTGCAGACCTTCTAGCTGGGGAATGGTGTCTAGCCTGTTGTTTGCTCAGTCCCCACACACCTGCTGGCCTGTGTGCCCTTTCAGCAATCCTCCCAGGCTCTTTGGCCTTCGGCAGTGAGCCAAGACCTCTCTTCTCTCTGCCCTTCTTTCTCCATGTTTACACCATTAAAATATATTTTGCTCTTTTATTTATAAACCTTATATTACCCCTTTCTCACCATTATCTCATGGGGTCTTCCACTGTTTCTTTTAAATTTTACAATATGACCGAAGTTTGTGTTATTAATCATTCACATACTTTAGTACAAACATTATTAGTTTCTTGCTACTACACACTCAATATTTTTACACATCAAATCAAACCATGGTGCTACTACTTATTAATAGTGTGCTATCGCAGTATCATCTTTACTCAAAACTTTGTGCTCTCTGACTAATTCTATTATTCTGTGTGGATTAAATGAAATAGTGCTTATAACATAATCATCAATAGTGTGCTCTCATAAAATCATCTCTACTTAACACTTTGTGCTCTTTGATTCTAATTCTAATTACTCTATGTGATTAAATGACTTTGTGCTCATAACATTCTACCATACATTTTGTGTGATTAACCTTGCATTTTTCTAGCATATTAACTTTATAATATTCAAACATCATACATAAAATTTTATACTACATTAGGGCTGCACAATTATGGTTCAAAATCGATTATATCAGATTAAATGTATCTTAATTATTACAAGCCAAAAAATGTGTTATTTTCCAAGGACCCACTGGACGGTCTAGCAGACTTAGTTGTTACAATTTTACAAGTATGCCTACCGATAGCTTGCCTCTGCTTCTTAATGGTGGTTTAAGGAGATTATAATATTAAAAACCCACATACAAAGTCACACTAATAACAGACAGGGTGATATAAAGTCTGTCTCTCCTACAAGATTTTATAACATAAATAAATAAAGAGCAGCTTTTCTATACCCACCGTGCATTCAATCTACATTCCAGGTTGAGGATCATGACACCCCTCCAGAGGAGCTGCACTACCTTGTGATCAGTAAGCCCAACAACGGCTACCTGACGCTGGGGGAAAGACCAGAGCCAGTGACCTCCTTCACCCAGTACGACGTCAACCACGGCCGGCTACACTTCATTCAGCAGGTGAAGAGTCAGTCAGGAGACTTTACTGCTCCAGTTCTTTTATGCAAATGTGTATGCATAAGGGATGTCCATTTGAAACCATTTTTAATTTTTATGTGATTTCTTTTTTTTTCTTTCTACCCCAGTGTTTTTTATTCTGCCACTAGGGGTCGCCAACAGCAGAATTCCATTAAATCTTGGGGCATGAATTAACTTTTCTTAATTCTCCTCTGTATCATTGAGCAACAATAATACAAATCATTCTTTCCTTAGAAATAGTAGTAGTAATAGGCTTTAGGTTTTTTCTTTTCCTGACTTTTAGGTCGCTATTTATTTCCATTCTTTTCACATTCTTTTTAATGTAGTGTGGGAATCAACGTGCAAAGATTTAAAACCTTGAGCGTGATAGATGTAATCCATCAGCATGTCTTACATTATTGTTGCGTGATAATGCAGCTGAGAGATGGTACAGTTTTGAAGAGTTTATAACGATGTCTTTGAGTGTGCTGTTTTTTTTCCTTTGTTCCCTCTATTAGGGTGAGCCCTCAACAGGTGTCTTCTACTTCAACATAACCGACGGTCATCATCGCCCACTCTACAGACTGTTCAGTTTGGTGGTTATAAAGCCCTCTGTCTCCATAGTGAACAACACCGGCCTGTCATTGGTTCAAGGCAGGACCGCTGTGATCCTGACAACCAACCAGCTTTCTGCTCAAACCAACGGTCGCAGCCCAGCCAACATCACCTACGCTGTCACCACACACCCTCGCCATGGACGCATTGCCATTAATGACCAGGAAGTCATGACCTTCCGCCATGAGGACCTGCAGTTTAGCCGTGTTGTCTACCACATGACTGATCTCAGCGAATCAGAGGACAGCTTTCAGGTGTCGGTGTCAGCCTCGTCCCCAGGTGTTGACTATGGAAATGTCACAGACCAAACTGTGAAGGTAACTGTGCGGCCTCTGATCTACCTGAGGGAGCAGGTAAGAGTGCCCAGTGGTATCGCTGTGAAACTGGGGAAAGCCATGATCGATGCCTCTGAGCTGGCGAGAATCAGCCGAGCAGACCCGGTCTTTGAGGTTCTTTCTCCACCAAAACATGGAAAACTAGTCAAGGTAAAGCTGCTCACTGTAAGATTGTGAGAGGGTTTTAAAGGAACATGCCATACTAGTGTTTTTACTGCCTACCTGCAGTGAACACTGACCTTTCAATTTGTTTGTTCCTACTTAGCTCCAGCTGTTTGTCCAGCATTACTAACACACAGACACCTGTAGCCTATTAACATGTTAAGAAAATGAGTAAGCTTCTAAATAGCTGTGACTCACCTGTTTTAAATTTACACTCTTTTAAAAGCCGGATTTTTTCAGTGTTTCACTACTATCTTTGGTTTCAAGTCTGTAACACCCAAGAGAGTACGTCTAATTCTCTGCTGCAAAATGAAAAATTGTGCCATTTAGAACATCATGCAATTAATAATACAGAAACTTCAGTGATTCGTGTCACTAATTGTCTAATCACCTCATTTCTGCTTTGTCAGATGACCTATGACCCTAACCGAGCATCAGAGGTCCTGAAGTCGTTTACGTTCAGAGACGTGGTGCAAGGCCGGGTCGCCATCGAGGAGACACTCAGCGACGGTGACAACCAGCTCCATAGTAACAAATCAGCACTCGCAACACCTCGAGGCCACGCCCCTGCCACGCCTCTCAATGATTCGTTCATCTTCATGCTGAAGGCTGGAAACGTCCAACCAGCGAAGGGCGAGCTTCACTTTACCATCTTTCCCCACCACCAGATGCATCATGGTCCGAGTGTTACAAATATAGCAGAAGGCGCAAGTCGCGAACACACGACAGCCCGTCTGCCGGCGCATAATAAGACTACAACCGGAGGAGGAAGAGGAGGTGGACCCACAACGCACAGTGGCGTTGGGGTGGGTTTGCTCCCCCACATTTTGTCACATAAGAACCACAACAGGACACAGCACAAGCTGAGGCCTCACAGCCGCTGGGGGAACCACACACGCAGTCATGGAGGAAGAAGTGGTGCAGAGGGAGCAGGAGGGGGTCACAGGCATCACCCACATCCCCACACTCCTTCTATCTTAGACAAACACGGTCCAGTGATCCCTCCTGACACCCATCCGGTTCACGTCGAGGTCCTCCCTCGCCCCGCCTCTGACCCACTCCTCATTATCCTGCCGCTGCTGGCCTGTTTGCTCCTCATCATTATTCTCGTAGTTTTGATTCTGGTGTTCCGCCGCCGCAAGGAAAAACAGGCCCGGCTGCGGCTCCTCCAGCAGCTTGCCGCTGTGGCGTTGCCAACCGAGGGCAGCCCGTATATGGGCCGGGCGGAGCGGAGTGTGGCTATGCCCTCTGTTGTGGTCACCCCGCTGGGCCATAGAAGCTGCCCTACCTCACCCAGGGTATCCATAACTCCTAGAAGGAAGAGTCTGGCCCCTGGGATGACCTTCTGGGGGCCAATTGAAGCTGATGGAGCAGGTGGTCATGTGAATATTAGAGGTGGTAATAGTAGGGAAAGAGATACTGTATCTTGTGGTGCTGCAGCTGTCACTGCAGGATTCAAGAGATCTACATCCCCAACTCCGACTCTTAAAGACAACCAGTACTGGGTTTGATTGGAAGTAGTTCAAAGAAAAACTGTGCCTTAGAGGTGTATTTTTGGTTTGAAGGGTATACTGTCCAAGGGACATCTATAGTAATGAGAGCCACATCTGACCTGCTATGAACTTTTAAAAATATGTACATTTGTTGAAGAAATTGTTCCTTTTTTGTAGAAAATGCATGATTGCCATTATATTTAAGTCATTTCACTGAGCCAACTTGAACTGAACACATATTTAATGTAGTAACTATATACTGAAAAACTGTAAGACATTACCCAGCTACCTAGGAGGTGTGAGGTACTGTTCATAGTAAACAGAATCCATTATTATTATTATTGTCAAGTATTTTCCATTTTTTGCTAAACTTAACTGTCGTGACAAAAGCATTACCACCACTGGTTTCCTTATATAAAGATACATTTTTTTGCAACCAGCAATTTGACTGATTCCTCAAAACTTTGGTTTTAACTTGTATAGCTGTGATGAATGTAGTACTATATTTTTGTAACTGTTGCTTAACAAGGAAGTGAAACAAAGACTGAGTGAAGCATTTACTGTAAAAGGTAGTCAGATTATATTTAGATGAATTTTAAGTTAGCTCTATTGTGAGTTTATAGTATAAGTGGTAACTGACACCTCTCATCTACAATATTGTAACTGTACAGAGTTGATGTGTTACTTCATAGTGACTGTACTGTAAGTCCATGCATGCAAACTATTGTTTACAACATTCGCCACTCATGCACAAACACAGGTGTCATTCGCTGTTCAGCACTTTCCTGTTTCCTCTGACTGAGGCAGTGAGCTGTAACCGTTTCTGTCCATACATACATACATGCCAGCCTGTTCGCCATGCACTGTGAAAGATTTATTTTTAATAAAAAATATTTCTTTAAGGCGTCTGTGTGTGCAATCACTCCAACAACCAGCGGACTAAAAACTAAGAATCTTTAAGATTTTCGTCTGTTATTGATCAACAGCAACAGGCTGTCCATCTGCTGACAATGGGGACGCACATTTTAAAAGCTGAGTACTTGACACATTAAAAACTGTATGGACAAATGTGTGACAATTACACTGACCCTTTTAGGCTTCATGTAACTTATGTAAAAGTAGGCCTTAGCTAGCAGAGCCATTCAGTAATCAAAGACAAAAAGGCTTTCACAGGCTTTGGCCTACATGTGCAGACAGTTTTTGTTAGTACTTAGAAGTCAGTGCTTGAAACATGTTTTCCAGATGTATACTGACCCATATATGCACCACACTACTTGGTGGTTTCTCAACCAAGTCTGGTTTTAATCAAATCATTTGTGTGTATAAAAAGATTTCAAAGCACCCCATGGCCAGCTTGACCAACAGGTATCAATGTGATACTTTTAAAACTTAATGGATTAGGAGCAGCTATTAGAGGCAGAATAGCAGGACAGCTTTCTTTCTTGGATGAAGTGGAAGAAAATATTTAGAAGAAAAAACTGTTAAATGTCTTCTGAACTGAAAGTATTGGCTGATTCAGAATAGCCATCATTTGTAATTATTGTAAAGAGTGAAGAAGAAAATGAAAACAGAAGGAAGAGGCTGGTCTAAATAATGAAGAGCCTGCAACTGCAGTAACCTGACCGGCAGTCTGTGAACTCTGGTGTCCGATATCAGGGTCTGGATTGCTGCTGCCTCCACTGGAAAAACAAATGATAACAGGCTTCACTGTGGGAAAACCTAGCGCTGAAAATACACAAGATGAAGAATTCCTTGAAGATAAACAGTGATGAAGATTATGGAGCTGGTGTCTTGTTTCACTTTTTTTTTAAAGAAATGATCTGAGATTTTCATATAAGTGTGTAATGCTGTTCTCCACTGCAGATTGATATGACACAGTAATCTGACTAGCTCTGATGCCCTGATTTTAGTACCAACAGTGCTGGTGTTTACATGTGAACATTTTTAAAAACACAATATTTTAATATCTTGTATGTAATGAAAACATTAATATAAACACTAACTGAAAGAGACATAATGGGGGAAGTGAAACTTTTACATTTAGGAAAACAGTCAGCTATACAGATATATGATTGACATAAATTCTACTTCCATTTATTTAATGAAATGCTGTTTCAATGTGTTACATTAAAAGTGTTAAGAAACAGTGTCATCGTAGTGAATTACATGTTTCTGATTAAACCAGTACAGGATTTTTTTTACTTAAACTGAAATGGATTTTCTAGCTCAACTGTTCTCTGAGCTTATTTTGGTCACTTATTGGTTTAACAAGAAGATTTTAGGGTAGCTGGTTAGCATACCGAGAGCAAATCGTCCTTAAAGCCACTGTGCGTACAGTTTGAGAATGTCCAACTTTGGCGCCCTCAAGTAGTAGAATAATAAAGACAGCATCACCGGGACATGTCGGAGACACTCTTAAACCAAGATTGTCTAACTTTTTTACAATAATTTTTTTTGATATATATAATAATATAATCACATAAAATGCCCATACACAGTGGCTTTAAACAGGAAACAGGAAGATCTTCAAAGAGTCTGTACCCTGAGCCTGAGCCTCCGACCTCCCAAGATTGGGGGAAAGCAGAGAGACTGTAGAGTTTCAGTTTTAGTAATCTAATACCTGCTGTAACCCAGAGACAAAGAACTGTGGAGCCGCTTATCAAAACAAGCAGAAGCATAAAATCAGTCTGAGATAAATTATTGTTTTTAAGTCAGGCAACACATAAACTAAAATGCAGAACACAGGGCTTCAAATTATAATATGGTGAAGACATGACAGCATCCGAGTCGTGAGAGATGTTAGACATCAGAAGTAGGTCAAACTTCAAGGTGTAATGAAACTACTAAACTGATTCAACGGAGTAGATTATACCCACTTTGCCTCTTTCCATATTCACAATCACTTCCATTCTGTCATGTCCCATCAAAACAATACTGAACAGGTCATTCGGGTAAAAACAGACATATAGAGATAACAAAAATCATTAAATTCAATAAAGTCCTGTCTTTCAATCATTAAAACATCCAGTTTAAGTGATTTGGGGAGTTTCATCTCTACGCTTCTGTTGAGTTACCGTGTTCTCAAGAGGGTTTCCATGAAGTGGTGAGGCAGTGGAGCCATGGAGAGATCACGTGACCCTGAAACCAGGAACGGAGAGGCAGCCCTGTCATATTGAGAGCAGCTGTTTTTAATATCGTCACAGTCCCGCTGAGTTGCAAGATGTGCCTGGGGTGTCAGCAAAATCCCTGTTACTGGTACATTCATCAGAGCAGTCCAGATAATCCAAGAAGTTGTCATTCCACAGTCCAGTTGCCTATATTTATTAAAAGAGTGGTATATTTCTTCCAAGACTTGTACCAGTGCCAGGATTCATCGCATCCAATAGTTCTCTCTCTTAAAAGGATGATAAGATGTTCTCCATTACTGCAGGATGAACCCATCAATCATCCCTGCCTGCTCCCCTCTTCAAGCCTGCCTCCGTTTCCTCAAGGCCTCTAATAGACCAACTTCTCGGTTTTCTCCCTCTCTTCCTACTGGTCATCGTCATACCTCTGAAGCGTGTCCTCCAGCTTGGCGGTGATCTTCTGGAAGAAACCGATCTGCTGACGGAGGTGGTGCTGCATCTGCGAGCGGAAGTCCCGTACACGTGTGCGGTGGAAGTGCTGGATCTCCGCCAGCGTTGCGCAAGAAATTATGTTGCAGCGGTCGTGGAGCTCACCCTCCTGCTTCGGGCAGTCTTTAACCTTGGTCAGTGCACCTGGAAAAAAGTTGTGAGAGGGAGGGAAAGACAGGAAGAAGACTGATTAAATGTGGCAGGTATACAAAGTATAAAGCCGAACAAAGACTAGAGTTATAGCATTGGTTCCAGTAAGACTTAAAACTTAATTACGCTTAAAAGGGTCACACAGATCACTCCATTTGTCTGGCTCCAAGTTTTCTTGTCTTTTCTTTCAAGTAGGCTATTCACTAGAGTTTGATGAGAATTTTGACATTCTCAGGTCTGTTTGTTAATTAAGAAGCTACAGCCAGGAGACAGTTAACTTAACTTAGGGCAACAAACTAGATATAATCATGTGTTAATCATTAAGATTTAAAGGCGCTGTTAGACAGATGTTTTTACCTTTGGAGAGAGCCAGGCTAGCTGTTTCCCCCTGCTTCCAGTCTTTTTGCTAAGCTAGGCTAACCATCTCCT